TGTAATCTGGTAGCTGACTTGCGCAGTGTTAACGTTGTATTTGTGGCTTTACTTAAATTTTCACTGTAATCTGGTAGCTGACTTGCGCAGTGTAACGTTGTATTTGTGGCTATACTTAAATTTTCACTGTAATCTGGTAGCTGACTTGCGCAGTGTAACGTTGTATTTGTGGCTTTACTTAAATTTTCACTGTAATCTGGTAGCTGACTTGCGCAGTATAACGTTGTATTTGTGGCTTTACTTAAATTTTCACTGTAATCTGGTAGCTGACTTGCGCAGTATAACGTTGTATTTGTGGCTTTACTTAAATTTTCACTGTAATCTGGTAGCTGACTTGCGCAGTGTAACGTTGTATTTGTGGCTTTACTTAAATTTTCACTGTAATCTGGTAGCTGACTTGCGCAGTGTAACGTTGTATTTGTGGCTTTACTTAAATTTTCACTGTAAACTGGTAGCTGACTTGCGCAGTATAACGTTGTATTTGTGGCTTTACTTAAATTTTCACTGTAATCTGGTAGCTGACTTGCGCAGTGTAACGTTGTATTTGTGGCTTTACTTAAATTTTCACTGTAATCTGGTAGCTGATTTGCGCAGTGTAACGTTGTATTTGTGGCTTTACTTAAATTTTCACTGTAATCTGGTAGCTGACTTGCGTAGTGTAACGTTGTATTTGTGGCTTTACTTCAGTTATCAAATTATGCTCATGCTTACTCAGTTGTAAGGTGTTTCTAGTTTTAGTTTATTTGAAATAAATTATTTTATTCTGGTTCAAGTTTATTTTACACTAACTTCACTTAACAAACCAGCTACTTCGGTGCCATTTTTCCATTTCATTTTATACGTGTTTCGTTGAGGATATTTTTGCTCAAGTTAGTCTGATATTTTCTTTTTCATTCCGCCTTCAAGAAATCAATTGTTTCCTTTCACCAATCAGATTTGTAACTTTCTTGTTACGACGATAACATTTAATACCTTGGTGTTTTATATTGCGAGTCTCAGAACATCATAGATTTATAGTTAGTATTGTAAGATTGAAATACTTGTTTTATTACATAGCACAAGGCTATACATCATGGGAGAAACTTACTGGTAGTATGTAATAACTATTTTATAAATACATCATGGGAGAAACTTACTGGTAGTATGTAATAACTGTTTTATAAATACATCATCGGTGAAACTTACTGGTAGTATGTAATAACTGTTTTATAAATACATCATGGGAGAAACTTACAGGTACTATATAATAACTATTTTATAAATACATCATGGGTGAAACTTACTGGTAGTATGTAATAACTATTTTATAAATACATCATGGGAGAAACTTACAGGTAGTATATAATAACTATTTTATAAATACATCATGGGTGAAACTTACTGGTAGTATGTAATAACTGTTTTATAATTCCAATTTACATTTTTTTTTTTTTGTGCAATTAACCTTAAGTGGAGAGGCAGAAATGTTTCCCTAAAAGTTGTATAAACCAGAACATTGTCTTACAGTGGAAAATGTAAGCTTAAAATAATCATGGATTGGTTCAAAGACAGGAATCCATAACATAATGATATGATATTGTTTATAAATGTGGAAAGGGTGGGATAGCAAATGTGGTTAAAGAAATCCGATAATCTTCCATTTTCTGTCTTCCTTTCTAGCCTATCTCAATTTTAATTGTATTTGTACATTTCCAGTTCGCAGTGATAGTTCATAATGCTCCACTGTTTCTGCACTAACAAAAAAAGATGATGGATGATGATGTGTTTGACATCCGCCAGATAGCACTGAGGAGGCAGCAAAGACGGTTGCACGCTCGCGCTTCCGTTGAACAACTTTTGGAAACAGAAGCTGCCACCTTTGGAAAGGTGATAATTTTTCTTTCTCAGTGTATCATGTAAAAACTGTAATTAATAAAATGCTAATACCTTTTTTAAGTTTAAAGTATCTTTTAGTAAATATGCACACCTCTTTTTTTTTTAGGTCTTTATTAACATTTACTTTGTAAGTTTACAGTTTCGACCTCGATCCGCTGGAAAATTTAAACTTAAAGCACTTCTTGAATATAATGCTCCTGGTAAGTAGAAAGTCCATGTTTAAATGTTGTCTAATGTGATTTCAGGTCTTGGTCGAGTCAAGCTTACATGAAAACTTTGCTTTTATGAACTTGGTATTCTGATATTTATAAGTAGAAAACATAAGTAAAGTATTAAAGCTTGATAACGAGGAAACTGACTCACGCACACCACAACTCAACAACATTCCCAAACCACACAAACAAGACTGCCCCATACGACCTATACTATCCACTAATGATTCATTTAACTATAATCTTGGTAAATACATAACCTGGGCCCTCACACCTTACATAACTTCTGCAGGTTCCTTTTTTAAAGATGTCTTTAACTTCAGAAACACATTAAACCAACTAAACCCTAAATCTTAGTGGCTAGCTTTGATGTTGTGTCACTTTTCACCGAAGTTCCCGTCAAAGATGCCTGTAATATTGCACTTGTTCTCTACACTAATGACCCCAATCCTTTAATTCGCCTCCCCAACACACTTTTTCGTTTCCCTTTTAGAATTCACAACAACAGAAAGAAACTTCATTATCAACAACCAAAACTTTCTTCAAGCAGACGGTTTAAGCATGGACAACCCTGTTTTACCTCGCCAACATACTGATGATCCAGATCGAAACACAAGCATACAATCCGCACTTTATCCTCCCTTATACTGGTACAGATATGTCGACAACACTTTTGCCGGTTTCACTTCTATGCAACACATAAACACTTTTTTTAAAGACAAAAACTCCAAAATTCACTCACACAGGCCTCTACATCCCCTAGAATTCTGCCCATGAATCCAAACAAAAAATTAATTTTCTAAAAAATCTTAAACGCACGGCTTCAAGACTTTATTCAACTGAGTACATAGATGAAGAAATTAGCTTTATAAAGCATTTCTTCATTCACACCAACAAATTTCCACTAACCATTGTCGAAACATTTCCACAAAACCACCAGAACAAAAACCTCAAACTCAAATCACAAAGAAAATTGACACTAATACACCAAACAACAACACAACATTATACCGCAGTTTACCATTTATCACTCACATCAGCTCAAAAAAATTAACACTTGGAGAAAACTTGCTGTCAGACATAAAATTTCCGTTGACCTCAAATTCGGTCAAAAACCTGGCACTAAACTAAAGTCATTATTAAATAAAAATTACATAGAATCATCTATAAAATAAGTGCAATAACTGCTCAGAACTGTACATCAAAGAAACAGGTAGAAATTTGGAAACCAGATTCACTGAACATAATAAAAAAACCCTCCCATGTTTACCATCATTGCAACTAAAAAACCAGTATATCCATACAAAACACTGTAATTTTAAACAAAGAACCAAACATCATTTAACGCAAAATAAAAGAAGCTTGAAAAAAACAGCCCCACCCGAAATCAACACTCCTGGGTACCAAGATACCTATATTTAGACTGTGAAGCAATATCCGGTGATGTGATCTATTTGTTCTATATTGCATATCTATATATACTGATGTATCTCTGTAAACTACTTGTACCTGATGATGACAAAAATCTTGTCGAAACATAGTACACAGACGGTCACAAGTAAATAGACACCACCTTTTCAGAAAAAATGAAAATTTTCAGTCATATTCACGTGAATTGATATATTTATAATTTAATTAATATCTAGTAGATCTTCCTTCCGCTTCGCGGAGTTCGTTGATCCTTTGGGGCATCGTGAGAATCATCTCGTCAATTTTAGATTGTGGGATTTTCGCCCACTCTTGCTTCAAAACTTGGAGTAGATCGCTCTTCGAAGTTGGTTTTTTGGTTGTTTCTTGATTTGCCGGTTGAGTATGGCCCAGAGGTTTTTGATGGGGTTC